GGTGTCATCAAACTATGCCTTTGCCTCTTTGTTTATTTTGAATATGCGCCCTCTAGCAGCGAAAATTACATATTGTGCCTTTAATGAACCTAAGAATTTTTATTATATATATATATATATATATATATATATATATACACATACATACAGTGGTGTGAAAAAGTTTTTGCCCCCTTCCTGTTTTTTTAATTGTTTGCATATTTGTCAAACTAATTTTAATATTACACAAAGATAACCTGAGTAAATACAAACTGCAGTTTTAAAATTATGATTTCATTTATTAAGTGTAAAAATCTGTCCAAACCTGCCTGGCACTACATGAAAAAGTAATTGCCCCCTAAATCTAATAACTGGTTGTGCCACCCTTTGCAGCAACAACTGCAATCAAGCGTTTGCGATAAATGGCAATGAGTCTTTCACAGGAATTTTGGCCCACTCTTCTTTGAAGAATTGTTTTCATTCAGCCACATTGGAGGGTTTTTGAGCATGAATGGACTGTTTAAGGTCATGCCACAACATCCCAATCGGATTTAAGTCTGGACTTTGACTTGGCCACTCCAAAACCTTAATTTTGTTTTTAACCTTAAAGTACGCTTGACCTTAAAGTACGCTTGAGCTTGAGGTCACATTCTCCTTCAGGATTTTCTGATTGAGAGCAGAATTCATGGTTAGATCGCATGATGTGTTGCTCTTTAAGCATGCTTCACTTTGTCAGAAGGTTCTATTTAAGTGATTTCTTGATTCAACAGGTCTGGCAGTAATCAAGCCTGCGTGTGGCTAGTGAAATTTAACTCAGCTTTCTAAAATAATGTGGTTAATCACAGTTCTTTCATGATTTAAGAGGAGGGGCAAATAATTTTTCACGTAGGGCCAGGTAGGTTTGGACAGCTTTTTTCCCTTAATAAATGAAATTATCATTTAAAAACTGCATTTTGTATTTAATTGCATTATCTTTGCGTAATATTAAAATTGGTTTGATTATCTGAATCTTTTACGTGTGACAAATATGCAAAAAATAAACAAAACAGGAAGGGGGCAAAAACCTTTGTATTTACTTGCATTATCTTTGCGTAATATTAAAATTAGTTTGATGATCTGAATCTTGTAAGTGTGACAAATATGCAAAATAATTTAAAAAACAGGAAGGGGCAAAAACCTTTTCACGGCACTGTACAGGTGCATCTCAATAAATTAGAATGTCGTGGAAAAGTTCATTTATTTCAGTAATTCAACTCAAATTGTGAAACTCGTGTATTAAATAAATTCAATGCACACAGACTGAAGTAGTTTAAGTCTTTGGTTCTTTTAATTGTGATGATTTTGGCTCACATTTAACAAAAACCCACCAATTCACTATCTCAACAAATGAGAATATGGTGACATGCCAATCAGCTAATCAACTCAAAACACCTGCAAAGGTTTCCTGAGCCTTCAAAATGGCCTCTCAGTTTGGTTCACTAGGCTACACAATCATGGGGAAGACTGCTGATCAGACAGTTGTCCAGAAGACAATCATTGACACCCTTCACAAGGAGGGTAAGCCACAAACATTCATTGGACAGGCACAGAGTCATAGCTTCATGTTAAGTATTTGCTAAACTTTATTTAGAGCAGTAATACTTTACATTTTGACTCCAAAGCCCCATTAATATTCAAAAACTAGAAAAATGTATATTCATTATAATTATGCACATGGCATTTTAAGATTTCATTAATTTACGTGACATTCCTGGGACTATAAGTCCCACTTTTCATTACAATATTAACTTGAGTAATTTGAAATAATCTTAAACCTCCCCTTGCAAGTTTCATAAGGGTTTGTAGTAGCCTAGGTTTGGTTGCTTTTTTTCTACTCCAGAAAACTCTGTTTTGTATTATCTATTATTTGTATTATAGCCTATGCCATGGAATGCATTTGTTTCAGTGATATATTAGTAGGCCTATTACTGAAATAGTTTTTATTAATATTTTTAATTACCTTTTCTTTTCTTAACTGCCAATAGTTGAGCTAAAAGAACAACCTCTGAGAAATCTTGCAGTGTACATTTTTGAAGAACAAAAAAAGTCACCTACCGGTTACAATGACCGTTTTCCCATATAGTTTGGCAGTGCCGTTGAAGGTCTTCCTATGAACAAAAATCCTATGACCGATAAAATATGCAACCAATAAAATTACAATAAATAAAAAGAAAATCATGTTTGCGGTTGTGAGCGCAGAAGTCAGATGTCTAAACAAGTCAAAAGATGATAAACAGTCAAGCCACGCCCATCTGTAAACGCTGCCTGATAGTCTGGAATGTGGGTGTTATAACCATAGATAGCCTATAGCATGCAGTAAACCTGCGCAGTTTAAAACATCTGGAGCTCACATCTGCCCTTTGAACACAAGGCTCTCCAGATGTAGAGCTGAACGGGAAATTATTACTGGCTCTGTCCAGTAACTAATAATGAACGCGCAGTTTGCAGAGAAGCATTTGCTCACGGTGGACTGTCTGACTTAAAGGGACAGTTCACCCAAATATCGTTTACACTCCCACAAGTTGTTCCAAACCTGTAATAATTTCTTTCTTCTGGTGAACATAAAAAAAATACTTTGAAGAATGTGGATAACCAAACCAGTTTCTGGTCCCCATGACTCTGATAGTAATTTTCTGTACTATGGAAGTTACCGAGGACCAGCAGCTGTTTACTTACCCACATTCTTCAAAGTATCTTCTTTTGTGTTCAACAGAAGAAATAACTTTATGCAGGTTTAGAACAACCTGGGTAAATTATGACAGACTTTTCATTTTTGGGTGAACCATACCTTTAAAGTGACAGACACGTCTGTGCTTCTAAAGGCATAACCATATTGTTTTATTAAAATTTGGATAGTCTGTCAATATTATATTCCATACATTATCAGAGCTTGGTAGACATAATTATTCTATTTTTAGACATGATTAGACAGATGAATTAATAGATTATAATTAATGTTAGACCTCATTTATTAATTTATCATTTAAACAGTCAAGCCACGCCCATCTGTAAACGCTGCCTGATAGTCTGGAATGTGGGTGTTATAACCATAGATAGCCTATAGCATGCAGTAAACCTGCGCAGTTTAAAACATCTGGAGCTCACATCTGCCCTTTGAACACAAGGCTCTCCAGATGTAGAGCTGAACGGGAAATTATTACTGGCTCTGTCCAGTAACTAATAATGAACGCGCAGTTTGCAGAGAAGCATTTGCTCACGGTGGACTGTCTGACTTAAAGGGACAGTTCACCCAAATATCGTTTACACTCCCACAAGTTGTTCCAAACCTGTAATAATTTCTTTCTTCTGGTGAACATAAAAAAAATACTTTGAAGAATGTGGATAACCAAACAGTTTCTGGTCCCCATGACTCTGATAGTAATTTTCTGTACTATGGAAGTTACCGAGGACCAGCAGCTGTTTACTTACCCACATTCTTCAAAGTATCTTCTTTTGTGTTCAACAGAAGAAATAACTTTATGCAGGTTTAGAACAACCTGGGTAAATTATGACAGACTTTTCATTTTTGGGTGAACCATACCTTTAAAGTGACAGACACGTCTGTGCTTCTAAAGGCATAACCATATTGTTTTATTAAAATTTGGATAGTCTGTCAATATTATATTCCATACATTATCAGAGCTTGGTAGACATAATTATTCTATTTTTAGACATGATTAGACAGATGAATTAATAGATTATAATTAATGTTAGACCTCATTTATTAATTTATCATTTATATTAATCATAAATATATACATAATAAATAATCATATAAAAAAGTTAAAACATGCTAAAATATTTAGATAAAAATGGGATTACATAACTAAATAACATAATAATTTAGTCCTCATTTAAGCAAATGAATAAAATTATTTACATAATAAATAAATAATAAACGGGGGTCGTGAATGGGTGTCCCTTAATTACATGTATCAGTGAGCTGCGTCTCGGGCCGATGACGTCACTTCCAGGAAGGCATGCCCAGGGCTGCGTTCAGCCCTGACAAAACGGTGCAAAACGTTTTTTAAACGGAAACGGTGGTGCGTTGAACACACTGTTCTGATGACGCAAGGGTTGCAACTATGGCAGCTGAGAAGGCCATTCTTTGTGTTCTTTTTGAAGAATTTTCGGAGCCTGATGAAATCGATATAAATGCGTGTTTAATACTGCAAAATACACTCAATGTTACAGTCACTGCCCTTGCCGTCCAGAAATAAAAGAGAACATCCCAATAGAATTTTCAGGATGAAAAGACAAACATTTCAGGTGAAGGATAATCCACTTCTTACCTCCGAGACTGTGTTATGATCTACACTGAACAAAATTATAAACGCAACACTTTTGTTTTTGCCCCCATTTTTCATGAGCTGAACTCAAAGATCTAAGACTTTTTCTATGTACACAAAAGGCCTATTTCTCTCAAATATTGTTCACAAATCTGTCTAAATCTGTGTTAGTGAGCACTTCTCCTTTGCCGAGATAATCCATCCACCTCACAGGTGTGGCATATCAAGATGCTGATTAGACAGCATGATTATTGCACAGGTGTGCCTTAGGCTGGCCACAATAAAAGGCCACTCTAAAATGTGCAGTTTCACATACACATACATTCAAAATGCCATCAATAAAATGTACCTGTGTTCGTTGTCCATAACATATGCCTGCCCATACCATAACCCCACCGCTACCATGGGCCACTCGATCCACAACGTTGACATCAGCAAACCGCTCACCCACA